GTTCAAGTCTGTATATATTTGGACTTTCCCCCACCTATTCATCTCTTCCTTGAATCCTGTACTCCTGAAACTAAAAATTGATAGAAAGAATTCTTGGAAAGCAGAAACTTTTTAATTGTAATGAAACAGCAGGAAAAAGGACAGAGGCCTGAATTGCGTTTAGGGATCACACTTGGGTTGAGGAGAACCGCATGTCAGTGGGAAGAAGCTGGTAGTTCAAACAAAACAAAAAGCCTAGGCTTCAGAGATATCTGAAGCCAGGTGTTAAATATGTTAGGCCCATAAGGGGCTTCAGGGGCTCATGGAGACCACTAGGGCAAAGCTCTGCCAGACTTACTGCCCAAACACAGGCTGATGATGTTCTGTGAAGAATATCTGCTGCAAAATTACCAAAGCCACTATGTGTTTACCTTTCTACAACCCTTCAAAAAGAATGTAGCTGTCTCCACCAGAGCCCCAACAGGGAGAAAACAGACCAGAAAATGGCAATAGGTGGGTGTCAGATTGTCTGGAGAGAGCTGCCTGCTCACCACTAAGTTTGTGAGGCACCATTTACCAAAGGAAAGGGCTTGTCAGGAACATGCCTCTCCAACCAGGGCCTGATTCATCATCATGAGTCGATCCAGCCTGCAACGACTGCCACCCCCCCCACCTCCCCGCAATGGGAGCAATTCCGAGAAATATGCTTGTAAAGCTTCTCACATTGCTAAAAGCAAGGCCTGGCATTTCTTTTTCCTTTTATCACTGTATTAAATTCTGTATGTGTGTGACTGACTTTAAGCTAGACTGTAAGATCCTTAAGAACAAGCGCTTGTCTTACTCCTGGCACATAGTTTAGGTGTTGAATTAATGTATATTAAATAAATGAAGGAATAATCATTTAGTTATATTTATACATAGAGTAACATTGTTTAAATACTATATAGATACCAAACCAAACCAGTTGCTTTCAAGTCACTTCAGACTCATGGTGATCTCAGGTGTGTCAGAGTAGAACCGTGCACCATAAGGTTTTCAATGGCTGATTTTTTGGAAGTAGATTTCCAGACCTTTCTTCTGAGGTGCCTCTGGGTGAACTCAAACCATCAACTTTTCAGTCAGCAGCCAGGCATGTTAGCAATTGAGCATGTTAACCAAATGTAGCACCCAGGGACACTATGCTTCTTGTGGTTGACCAATGCTCCACTTCCTAGTTCTTCTGGAACTCCCAAACTTCTTAACTAGTTCCAGTCCTAGTCCTCCAGGATTTTTGACCTTAATTCTTTAAGTCCCCACCCTATAAACCAAAAAAACTCGTTGCTGGCTATTCCAACTCATAGTGGTTAAGAACTCAGCTGATAACCAAAAAGTCAGCAGTTTGAATCCACCAGCCACTCCTTGGAAACTCTATGGGGGCAGTTTTTCGCTGTCCTATATAAGGTCACTATGAGTCCCCAACCTATACCTCCCCCCAAATTACCTTTGATTATGTTAGCCAGAGTTACCTCCTTATGTTTGCAGCCAAGAATACTGATAGTTATATAACAAGAAGTATCAAGCTGAATTAGCAAACTAAATTAAATGAAAACAAACAAACAAAAAAAGTGGCCAGCAGTATGGCCTTGAAAAATACTTAAATGTTAGATATTCTCATTAATCATAAATTTCAGCTAGGACCTCTATGCCCCTTGATATGTGGGAAAATTTGGCTAAAGCCCGTCATTTCTACAGCCTGTGGAAGCCTGAAACATTCCCTTAGATTTCTGAAATTTCTCAGAGCATTTACTCTTCTGCCATCCTGGGTCTTTTGGGCTTCCATTCCCCAACATGCATTCTGTCTCTCAAAACACATCTACTTAGACAGGAATGTCAGGCAACTCACCAATTCACACACACACACACACACACACACACACACCCCTACACATTCATGTAAAGTATTTGTAGTATGGTAGGAGGCAGTGTAGTAATATGACCTTGAGAAAGTCACTTAACGTTTTTTGTGCCTTAGTTGCCACACATTGTGAAATAGGGATAATAATGACATGTGCCTCACAGGGTTGTTTTCAAATTAAATGGAATAATACAAATCAAATTTCTAGTTCATCATGTGTAGTAAACACTCAACCCTCAATTCATAGCCAGGCCAGAAAATTTTATTAAAAAACTGGATCTTGGGAGAGGTCAGCACATACACACATTAAAAAAGAAAATATGCAACCTTGTTGTTGTTCTGTGCCATCAAGTCGATTCCGACTTGCAGCGACCCCATGTGACAGAGTAGAACTGTCCCATAAGGTTTTGTAGGCTGTAATGTTTACGGGAGCAGAACACCATGTTTTTCTCCTGAGGAGCTGCTAGATGCAACCTAACTACTCTCAAAGCTCCTTACAGCCACCGTGCCACTGGAGGTTTCAGCCTAGCCCCTTCCCAAACAGAGTCCAGGCTCTCCTCTTTCTCTGAATCTTCTCTCTTCTCCAGACTTCTCCCTCATCTGCTCACTCCTTTTCCTCTGTCTTCAGAGAAAGTAAAAAATTCCTCTCCCCTGCCAGGACCCAGGCCCTCCAGCTCTCACCCTACATGGTCATCTTTCCAAACGAAGACGTTACTAAGGAAGAGCTCTGGTTCCTGCTTTTAAAATACGAAAATTTACTGTATCTAGTTACACCTAGAGCCCCTGGTGGCACAGTGGTTACGCATTTGGCTGCTAACCAAAAGATTGGCAGTTTGAATCCACCTAGAGCATTGGCTTCCAAATCCTAGTCATTTGCATAGTACCCTCATGATTTTTCTCCACATTCACTTACTAATGAGTATAATAATTTACAAAACAATTTCTTTAAGTAAACTCATTTTAAATTTTTAATAAATACATTTTTAAATGTAAAGTGTATTACACTACTGTCATTGTGTGCAATTGAGCTGATTCCGACTCATAGTGACCCTATAGCACAAAGTAGAACTGCCCCCACAGGGTTTCCTAGGCTGAAATCTTTACAGGAGGAGATCAACAGGTTTTTTCTCCCAAAGAGCAGCTGATGGGTTCGAACCACTGACCTTTTGGTTAGCAGCTGAGAGCTTAACCATTGAACTACCAGGGCTCCTATTTCACCACTAAAGCCAAAAAAAAAAAACCCCAAACCCATTGCCATTGAGTCAATTCTGATTCATAAGGCAAAATCGTACTACTCACTACTATAGGGAGGTAACCTTAAAATATTTAATTTTGAAGTAAAAAAAATGTTGCTATTATACCACCTAAAATCACCATGCATCACCAGTGATACATGCACCACAGTTTGGTAATCACCGGCTTAACAAATGTCCTTTATTATGGACATCCAGAAGTTGTACCGAGGAGGAAATGGAAGTAAAGCCGTGGCATTTGCGTGTTGCTAATACTGTGGGTGGAGAGGCGGAGTGGTGAGGATGAGCATATGTTGATGGGATCAGATTAGAATACTGACAGAGAGGATGGTCTACAGACAAGATTCTGGGGAGTGATATCAGCTCGTATCCCGCCTTACTCTTCCAGAGCACCAGGGAGAATGGCTAATGTTGGTTTAATTGAATTGCATGCTGCTATTAGAATCAATGCTGCCATTAGGGATCATAATATTTGAATTATACCCCCAGAAAGGGTACTGTAATCAACTGAGCCAGTTTGATACAGTATATTGGAAACTGAAAACACTTTTGTAATTTGTCACTCTTCATACTGCTCACCTCTGGCCTTTTAATTAAAAATAAAATTGAGATAGTCTGGATTCCACTATGCTTTCTATGTACAAATAATTTCACAGACTTTTAGGAAAAATTAAATACATGGCACCAGCCTAAAATCTACATTATATCAGCGACTTTGGTAAGTGACAAAGTCCACAATGGCAAGAGTCTACTTCAAGTGTAAAACGTTTCATTGTTAGGTAAACAGTCTTTTTGCATATCTAGGTGTACTAAATAGAACTCTATTGGAAATATACATAGTACAGCAATGGCTGGCTGATCAACTCTTTATTAAATACCTACCATGTGCTGGGGATTAGGCAAGACATCAGGTGACACATTCTATCCTCAAGGAATTCCCTTGTTGGGCGATACTATATCTTTGTAATTCAAGTCGTATTATACTAGAGTTTCTGTCAAGATATTTGACAGCTCCCTTTTGTCACAATGTTCCTCTACATCAAACACAGAGGCACAGTTCCCCTGATCTGTACCTGAAATATACTTTTCTGTAAGTCTCAAGTGAAAGAAAAAATGCTCCTGTGATTGCACCTGGGATAGATTTTTTCAGGATGTCTTCCAGCCAGAGTTATGTGTGGATAACCCTCAGTCTCAAATGCCAAGGAGTATCGCTTCACAACATTCGAGCCTTATTGACTACAATCTCTTTGCACTATGCGGCTGTGCCAGATAAAATGCAGCGGGCTTTTAAAGAAAGAAACAACAACAACGACACTTTCCTAGGAGTCATCCTATTATTTTCAGCTCCATGGGTTGCAAGAAATTCCAGGAAAACAAAACAGAAACTGTTTAACTTTATGCAAGTATGCCATGCATTTCATCATGGCACAGAATCTGATGACCTGGTTGAAAACAGAAATGGGTAAACTAGACTGTTATTTTATTTAAAAAAAAAAAAAAAAAAACTATTCGAATTTATACCTAAAATTTACAAGTACAGATGGATATTCGCGGAGCTATTTTTACCTCATTTAAATACATCTTGTTTCTTCCTATTACAGAGATGAATATCTATCTACATGGAATGGCATCTTCATAATGCTGACTTTTAGTATAGGTAACTGGAAACATTTACAGCCATCTTTCATTTATCATTTAAGCAGAAACAATACAACACTAATAATCAAACAGTACCACACTTATGATTACATATGAAAGCTGGAAAAAAAATCCACATCCATTGACTTTGTAACTCGACTGCAGCTATTTTTCAGAGGCTTCACAGTACAAATGGCCATAATTTACAGCACAACGTATACAGAAACGTAGCATACCTCACATTAGCATCAAGTTCATCCATTACAGGAAATAGGCATGGGTGAGTTGGATTTCAGTGGCCACAGGAAATAGCTGGTCCTACAATGGGAGAATTAAAAAAAGATTAGATGGGAAGATAACATAGGAAAATAAAAGTCTTTGTTAATGAAACAAATGTCAAATAATCATTGCTTCCTGTTTAATAAAGCTTTTGCTTTGTAGAAGTACTGTATTGGAGAAGTATTTCATAAAAAATACGATAGCAAAAAGCTATAGGCATACTGAGGTATGGTACAGATGAATGTTGCAAAAATTTCTTTACAATACACTAATCTTCTGGAGATTGAAACATATGGGTACTTTTTATTACTCCATGTTGATCAGCTTGTTATTTTTTGCTCCTCCCAAAAACATAGCTTATTTATATGATCTGCGTTAGGATACCAGCTAGTGAAATAGGTAACTATATTCCTATGATTAAAATAGTACATTGCCTAAGATGGTCAGCTATTTTGTTTCCTTTGAAGTTTTTCAGCTTTTTTTTTTTTTTTAATCTTTTTTGAGAGTGAGGAATAATAGATGTCTTGGAGAATCTGGAAAACTCTTGAGAACTCCCTGTTCAGGAGAAAAAAATGGAAGTGGATGCAGATACATGCACACTTTCTGGAGCCCACAGGTTCCCTGAGGGCCACCAGGAACCCAGGCTAAGAACTCCCAGTGTAAGGGAAGTTAACTTTTAAATACCCAAATTTCCCCTAGCATAGATCCACAGGAAGACATTTCCCTTTTGTTTACAGGCACTCACTGATGCCACCCAAACTGGCTTTCTTAACTGCACAGTTTCACTTTTTCAGAAGAATACCAATGTTTTTCATCACAATTGTTCCACAGTATGGTAAATCAGAGAAGGTAGGGGCTTGCTGGGTTACTCCAAGCATGCCTCTCTTTCATTCTGAGCTTCATCATCCCCTCCCTCAGTAAATGGAAGGGACTGGAATTGATGATCACTAGGTTCACTTCCAGGTCTGACATTCTATAATTCCATCTGCTAGTTTTCTAATAGAATCTTACCAAGAAGAAACTCAAAATCTGTCTGTCTATGTAATAGAACAATGAAACTCATCTTAAGCCTTTGGATGCCTTGGCCAGGGAAGACCAAACATGTGGGCCTGACAGCTGCACCAATCCCTAGCTCCAATGATGAGCACTGGCCCCAAACTGGCCAATCAGAACAGTCTATACCGTGGCCACAAGGATTCATTAGCTCACCAGCTATGCCAGTAAAAGCCAGACCTGGGATTTTTGCTACAGAAAGTCTCTCTTTTCCCTGGTGTTACTAACCTGGTAGACTTTTAGCTTGAAGCTGCTGGTGGCATCATGGCCACTTCATGGACAGAGCCTCTCTGAAAATGAAGTTAACCTAAAGGAAAATATGGCTGCAACTTAGATAATGCCAGCGCCCTGGTGATATAATTTGAGGCTTAAGATCCAGTAATGTCTTAAGACAGTTTTACACCTGAACTTTCCAATTATATGAGCCAACAAATTTCTTCTTCCTTAAATCATTTGGAGTTGGGTGTCAGCCATTATTCGCAACCAAAAGAATACTGAGTAATATACACGAAAATCAATATTGTATTGGTATACAGACTAGAAGGAAGAAAGGCAGGAAATAAGAAAATCAGTTAAAAGCAAGCTAAAGTTCACCTTATGAAACTACATTTTTAAAATATGACAACAAAGGGAAAATCTTATAAATTCATAGCAATATATGTTGTTTTATATATATATATATATATATAGATATAGATATAGCCATTTAACAACACAGTGAGACTGCATGCATTTTTCAGAGAGCAAGGAAGAGTAACCAATGGGGAGTTGGTGATTAGTACCTATCCTGATTTGATTAATCTGTTAGAATCCATCATGCTCTGCAGTACTCACCAGGGATAAGTAATCAGAGATGTGATTTGTGATTACAGGGACATCTTTTGTTGGAAAGATGGTATATGGCAAGGAGGGTGGAAGGAACCACTGCCTTTATCTTGCATACTTAAATTTACAGCTTCCTAACAAAGTGGTACTTAGTTAATTAAAAAATACAATCAACTAAGAGTGTCTCCCACGTTCACTAATAAGTTGCATCACTTCTAAAAGTTCTGCCAATTCAAAATCCTATAAGACAGTGTGTATTGTGTGTGTGTGTTTTAATGATAGTGCTGCAGGCACCCCACTATCTGTTCTAAGGAACAATATTCTCCATGTTGATCTCCAGAGAAGCAGATCACTAGATCATTATACCCAGAAAAAGAGCATGGCAAGTCATGGGGGATGGAGAGAGCGAGAGAGGGAGTCAAGAAAACTCTGACTCCATGTGAGGTACAAATGACAGTCTCAGCATTCTCTCAGGACCACGGCAAGCTCAATCCACTGGCATTATTCAAAACACTTCACCTGTCACCAAAGTAAAGAAAGTTACAGCGACATACAACTCTTATCAGATTCCTCAGTGTCTTTTCTTTGCCAGACACATTGAGAGGCTGATCGTTCAGTAAAAAAGGATGCAGAGAAAGAAGATGAGGAAGAAGTGGTCATCTTATTTATGCCACTCAGTGCTAACTCCAACTCTCAGTACTCTGGCTTACAAATTTTAAATAACTAAAGGGCAAAACTAAAAGGCAAGTGTACCCCATCTTTACCCTTGTTCCTTGATTCAGAATACCCTGAAATATTGCTGTAGAATGTTGTTAATGGTTAACAGAAGGTGTGTAGTTACACCTTTATTATTAAAAGTGTGAGCACAGGACTCACCTGTAAATAGTCCCCACCTATTGGAATGAAAGATCGATGTCGTTTGGTACAGGGCCAACATCTGCCAACCTGGAGCTGTGTCAGAACTTCAGCTAGCTTTGCTGTGCTATGTTTTGTTTTCCTTGGTTTTGGATGCATGGTCAGATATTCATGCATAACTATGCTTGGATTGACCACGTTCCCTTATAGAGTACCTTTGCTTTGGACAAGTGTCAGGAATAAGTAAAACATTTTCATCTCAATAGCCAAATCAAGGGTGGGAGTCTGACATATGAAAGGAGTCACTGGACCTAAGTTCTTAGCCTGACCCCACCACTCACTCACTGTTTCTATTCTTTTTTTTTTTTCCCATACAAAAATTTATACATATATTGTTATGTGACCCTAATTGCTCTCCCATACTGTGACCCACTCCTCCTTTCCACCCCTGATTCCCCATGTCCATTCAACCAGCTCCTAACGTTCTCTGCCTTCCCATCTCAGCTCCGGACAGAAGCTGCCCATTTGGTCTCTTGTAGTTGCTTAAGCTAAGAGGCACACTCCTCAAAAGTATCACTTTATGTCCCACAGTCCAGTCCAATTCCTGTCTGAGGAGTTGGCCTCAGAAATTGTTTTAGTCACTGTTACTATTCTTAAGCAAGTCTGTTCCCCAATCTGAGTCTCACTTTCCCCAACTGTAGGGTGGAGTGGGGCAGATGGTGTTGGGCAGGGTGAGCAAAGGGAGAATTTTAAAGTAATTAGAGCTTCTCAGAAGTCAAAGGAAATTTTCCTTGAAAAGGTGGGTTCTCCCTCATTAGGGACATTCAGACAGCATGTGGGTAATCTTTTAAGAATGTCTAAATGAGAATCTGTGATTTTGATGACTAGTAAGGCAACCCTGGGTGATACAAATGGTTAAGCACTTGACTACTAGCCAAAAGGAGGGCAGTTTGAACCCACCCAGAGGCACCTCAGAAGATAGGCCTAGTGATCTGCTTCTGAAAGGTCACAGCCTTGAAAACCCCCATGCAGCAGTTCTTTTCTGCACACAAGGAGTTGCCATGAGTAGGAATCGACTCATTGGCAACTAACAGCAACAACAACAACAACAAAACAAGGTTTCTTCCAGTGCTAACATTATAGGACTGTGACAGATGTCAGTTCTGCCTCTCACATCCCCAGAAAAAGACCATGTGTTTTTAATCATTTTCCAATTTGAAAAAGGATACACATTCAACTCTCATATGCTCTCTCAAACAGGTCCATGTACTGAGCACAATCACAGACATTTCTGAGCAGGTGGAACAAAAATAAAAGCTACGTGAAAGACCAGCTATTTGATAAAAGTTAGCTGTCCAAATGCTTGTTTTGGGGGCTCATTACCTCACCGTTCTGTCTCACTACAAGCCATGTGAACCAAAACACACAATCCCACAAAAATCAAAACAAACAAGCATCCCAAAAACAGTCTCCTAAATTCTATGGTGATGATGACTTCCCAGTGACCCAAGCCCTCTTGACCTTCACTGTGAAAAAAATTCTTGAACCATTTGCAAAATTACAATGGTGTAAATTCTCACTGAAGAGAAGAAAAGGTCCTCTCCTTGGCTATTTGCTCAGACTTTGTTTTCTGGAAAATATTTGGAATTTGTAGGATGCTGTGGTAGATTGAACTGTGTTCCTCAAAAATGTATGTCAATTTGCTAGGCCATGATTTCCAGTATTGTGTGATTGTCCACCATTTTGTCATCTGATGCAATTTTCCTGTGTTGTAAATCCTGCCTCTGTGATGTTAATGAGGTAGGATTAGAGGCAGTTATGTTAATGAGGCAGGACTCAATCTACAAGATTAGATTGTATCTTGAGTCAATCTCTTTTGAGATATAAAAGAGGGAAGCAAGCAGAGAGACAGGGGGCCAGGAGAATAGCCCTTCCTTTGGTCCCGGGGTTCCTGTGCTGAGAAGCTCCTAGACCAGAGGAAGATTAATGACAAGGACCTTCCCCTAGACCTGACTGAATGAGATAGCCTTCCCCTAGAGCTGGTGCCCTGAATTTGAACTTCTAGCCACCTAAACTGTGAGAGAATAAACTTCTGTTTGTTAAAGCCATCCACTTGTGGTATTTCTGTTATAGCAGCACTAGATAACCAAGACACATGCCTTCTCAGGAAAATTTTTTTTAACCTCAATCAGTGGATTCATACTCTTTAAAGGAATTTCTCTCTGAAAATTACTCCTGAAAAAAGGTCATACTATTTGTTTATCTAGACATATAAACTGTGATCTACAGGTAAAAATTTATACAAGCCATTAAATACATAAATAAAAGAGTCTGTGTTCCAGGAGCTGGACCTTGATTTGCAGGTGGCTCTTTCTAGGGATGGAAGTCCAAGTGCAAAATGTGTTGCTAAGACATCTAGAAAGATTTAATCCTAAGTAAAAAAGCTTCTAGCCTTTCCATCTCCACAACTAAAAATTCCATGTAGATGTCAATTCAGTTACACTTGGTGTACCCCTCTCCTTATTTATACAGTTAGGATGCAAGATGGCTTTAAACTTTTTTCAAAATAACTAAGTAAAATATTCTTCCTGAGAGAACGAAGAGAACAGGATACAAGGAAAAGATTTGTCCAAAAGACTAATGGACCACAAATACCACGGCCTCCACCAGACTGAGTCCAATACAGCTAGATGGTACCCAGCTACCACCACTGACTACTCTGACCGGGATCACAATAGAGGGTCCTGGACAGAGCTGGAAAAGGATGTAGAACAAAATTCTAACTCACAAAAAAAAAAAAAAGACCAGATTTACTGGCCTGACAGACTGGAGAAACCCTGAGAGTATGACCCCCAGATACCATTTTAGCTCAGTGGTGAAGTCAATCCTGAATTTTACCATTCAGCCGGGGATTAGACAGCCTCATAAAACAAAACTGGACTAATGAGACACAGCAGTCAAGGGACGAGGACTGGTAGGCAGGAGGGGACAAGAAAGCTGGTGATAGGGAACCCAAGGTTGAGAAAGGAGAGTGTTGACATGTCATGGGGTTGTTAACCAATGTATAGAGCAATATGCATACTAACTGTTTAATGAGAAACTATTTGTTTTGCAAACCTTCATCTAAGGTACAAGAAAAAAAAGAATTATCTATATGAGATCAAATTGACAACAGCAACTCAAAAGGTTTAATGGGAAGCCTAGGGGGCAGTGAGTTGAAGATAATGGTGATGGAATAACTGGGAAAAGAATAGTGAGAATAGCAGCTCAATGGGAAGAATGTAATCGATGTCACTGAATTGTACATGTAGAAACTTTTGAAATGGTGTAACTTTGGCTATGTATATTTTCACCAAAAAAAAAAAAGAGTTGTCCAAGG